AATAGTTTTTCCTCTTTTCCTCTTTCTGTTTTTTAAGTCTGATTTTTGCCAATATATTTCTGGGAGAGGAAGAATGGGACTGCTTTGTTGGCTCGACCTGGAAATGTTTCTTTTATACTACTTCCTGTTTTCACAGACATTTGTTGAATCCAAAGGTACTGTGTGTGTGTGTGTGTGTGTGTACATGACAATTTTTTGCTCAGTACCATCGTTATGGGGACATTTTGGCTGGTTCTCACAAGCTCAAAGGGCTGTTTGAGGATTAAAGCTCGATTTTAGGGTTCAGGTTAGAATTAGATTAGGTCTTGTGATGGTTGGGGTGTGTGTGTGTGTGTGTGTGTGTGTGTGTGTGTGTGTTTCTCAGGGGGCATGGACAAGGCAGGAGGACATTCTTCAACTTCTGCATCACTTCCTGTTCTTTCCAAAGTTTCCCCTCCCTACTTCCTGTTCAGATTGGACTAAATGCGTTGGCGAATTTTGTGTGTATGTTTGTGTGAGAAGAAGCAGCTTTAATGGGAAGTGTACACAGACCGGTTTATTTACAGCTGCTGATGGAATAGGAAGCTGCTCTTTGATGCAGGTGTCCATGTCTGCAGTTATGTGCTGAGGATCATATGGTTTTTTTTCCAACAACCCCGACCTTTTCTCTCCGTTCAGTGATTTGTTTCATATTCAGTCTGTTAAGAATTTCCCAACCAAGACCTTAACTGACCACCAACTCACTGAAAAAGCGCAGCTGTTTTGTTTTTTGATATTAATCTTTTCTTCTCACTTGATTAAATTCAGGTGCAAATCAAAATGTCTGTTGGTAAAGAGGAAAAAACATCAGATTTCAGGGCAGCGAAGCAGGAAATATCCCACAGATTCAGGTGCAGACTGGACTTACGTGGCAGTGTGAAACACGCACTGTGGCGGGAGGAGTACATACAATATAGAAATGAAGATGATAATTACAAGAGAGGCTGATGTCATGTTTGATGGTTTTTGAGGGTTACCCGGCTAAACAGCTCTTTATGACAGAGCTCTTTCATCTGTGGCCTCTCTTTCATTTCTGGTGCACATTAACTAAACATTTATTTTTTCCAATGACAGGACAAGGGAGGAGGAAGAGGAGATGAAAGAATGGAAACAGGGAAAGCAGGCGGCAGAGAAAAGATAGGCTTTGTGTATTTAGCTGAAATAAAAATTTGACATGTTTGGACATCTTCCCCGCCTCAGACATGAGCAATCGTCTGTTCTCAGATTCACATTTAGTAACATATTAACATTGTACGGAGGGCACATGTATGGATGGGTGTTTACCGGATTTCAGAACTGGCTGTTCCATATTTGTCTTCCATTCAGATATTCTGCTTGACTCTCCTGCTGGAATCCGGTTCAGTTGTCAGGGATGTCTGGGGAGCGCCGGCTACTGCAGCAGCAGTGCTACTCAGTTTCACTGTTTGTTCGTTCTTACTCTTTTGAAACATTTGTTTTCATCTTTTCCTGGAGGTGTTTGGCCTCAGAGAAGAGCTGGACTGTCAGTCTACCATGTATCAGACTGTTAGGGGAAGGTCTGCAGGCTTGGACACACACAGTCTACATGCACACATTTATCTGGTTGTTTGGGATTTGACTGCAGACAGACA